ATGAAAACCAAAGACCTACAACCAAGATTGCTCTACCCAGCAAAGTTTTCATTTAGAATGGAAGGACAGATAAAGTGCTTCTCAGATAAGACCAAATTCAAGGAGTTCATCATCACCAAGCCCTTATTATATGAAATGTTAAAGGGACTTACCTAAGAAAAAGAAGATAAAAAAGATGAACAGTGAAAGGACAGCAAACTCACAGTTAGTAACAACCACACCTAAAACAAAAGCAAACTAAGAGGAGAGCTAGATCAGGAGCAGAACCACAGAAATGAAGATCTCATGGAGGGTTAGCAACAGGGGAGTGGGAGGAGGAGAAGGGGGGAGAAGGTACAGAAAATAAGTAGCACAGACAGTAGATAGAAAATAGATAGGGGGGAGGGTAAGAATAGTAGGGGAAATACAGAATCTAAAGAATTTGAGACACGTGTTCATGAACTAAAGGGGGAAATGGTGGGGGAGGGGTATGCAGGGTGGAGGGGAATGGAGGGGGGGAATAGAGCAAATGTAATGGCATAATCAATAAAAAAAAAGATACACACACACACACACACAAAATAAAGATAAAGAGAGAATCTAAAAGCAGCAAAAGGAGAGTTACCTTCAAAGGAGTTCCCAAAAGACTGTCAGCTTATTTCTCAAAAGAACTTTGCAGGCAAGAAGGGACTGGTAAGATGTATTCAAAGTGATGAAAAGCAAGACCTTAAAACCTAGATTACTCTATCCAGCAAAGCTATCATTTAGAATAGAAGGGCAGATAAAGAGCTTCCCAGCAAGGTAAAGCTAAAGGAGTTCAACATCATCAAGCCATTATTACACGAAATGTTCAAGGGACTTATTTAAGAAAAAGATAAAAACTATGAACATTAAAATGGCAACAAACTCACAACTATCAACAACTGAATCTTAAAAAAAAAACAAAAACTAAGCAAACAACCAGAAAAGGAACAGAATCATAGATATGGAGGTAATTTGAGGGTCATTGGCTGGGAGGGGGAAAGGGGACAATGGAGGAACAGGTGCAGGGAATAAGAAGCATAATAAGCAGAAACAAAATAGATGGGGATGTTAAAACAGCATAGGAAATGGGGAAGCCAAAGAATTTACAGGCACAATTCATTGATAAGAAAATAAGGTGGGGGATTGCTGGAGGGAAGCGGAGTACCAGGCAGAGCTGGGCAAAATTGGGACAACTGTAATAGCATAATCAATAAAATGTATATTTTTTAAAAGGCCAAAATATCTAAGGTACGTCTGAAAAAGAACAAGTAGACAAATTTTTCCTATAAGATATCATAATATATAATATCAAGTTAGCATAAAGCTACAGAAACTATAAAAGCATGGTTTGGGCACTGTAAGAGACAAATTAATAGAATATGGAAATATGATGAGTAACAGAAATGGCACTATAGACCAGTGCAGATTAGTCAATAACTGCCATTATAACTTAATATTCATCGAAAAACATAATGAAATGATTCTTATCTCACACCATAAACTTAGTCAAAATTTATTAAAGAGTTAAATATAGAAAGCAAAACTACAAAAGTTTAGAAGATGATATTAAAATATATCTTTAAGACCTCAACAAGGAGCTTTTTTTACTTAAGGTTGGTTTCTAGCTTCAAACCATTGTGTTCTGAGAAGATGCTTGATATGATTTCAATTTTCTTGAATTTGTTAAGGCTTTTGTGTCCTACCATGTGGTCTATCTTTGAAAAAATTCCATGTGCATTTGAACAGAACGTATATTTTGCTTCTTTGGGGTAGAAGGTTCTGTATGTATCAATTAAGTCCATTTGCTCCAGAGCAGGGGTGTCAAATTCATTTTCACCAGGGGCCACATCAGCCTCACAGTTGCCTTCAAAGGGCCAAATGTAATTTTAGGACTGTATAAATGTAACTGCTCCTTAACTAAAGGCAAGAAGCTCAGCACTGCTGCCGGGTAGAAACAAGGTGCGGGGCCAGATTCAGCCCATGGACCTTATGTTTGCCACCTGTGCTCTGGAGTGTTGCTCAGTGTCACAACATCCTTGTTGATCCTTTGTTTGGAAAATCTATCCATTGTTGACAGTAGGGTGTTAAAAGCCCCTACAAGGAATGTGTTGCTGTTGATATCTTTCTTGAAGTCCTCCAAGATTTTCCTTATATATTTAGGTGCTCCTCTTTGGGTACATATACGTTTATAAGGGTTGTATTTTCTTGATGGACTATTTCCTTAAGTATTATATAGTGACATTTATCTTTTTTCATGGCCTTTGTTTAGAAGTCTATTTTGTCTGATAGAAGCATTGCTACCCCAGCTTCTTTTTTCATGTCTGTGTGCTTATAATATTTTTTCCACCCTTCACTTTCAGCATGACACCAAATCAAAAGAACGTATGCACCCCAATGTTTATAGCAGCATTATTTACAATAGGCAAGTGCCAAAAACAGGCTAAGTGTCCATCAGTAAATGAGTGGATCAAAAAACTGTGATACACTTACACAATGGAATACTACACAGCAGAAAGAAAGAAGAAACTCCTACCCTTCATGGCAACATGGATGGAACTGGAGAGCATTATGCAAAGTGAAATAAGCCAGGCAATGAAAGGCAAATACCATGTGATCTCATCTATAAGAGGACCTACCAAAAAAAAAAAAAATGAGCAAAGTAGAACCAGAGGCATGGAAACAAGGAACAGACTAACAACGACCAGAGAGGAGTAGGGAGGGCATTAGGGTGAAAAGAAGGGGAAGGAACTAGTCAATGTATAAATGACTCATAAGCATGGACAACAGGGTGGGGAGTGACTGTGGGAGTGGGGGGTGTGATCTAGGGAGAAAAGAGCAAAGGGGGAAAATGGGTATAACTGTAATTGAATAACAATAAAATATTTTTGATTTTTAAGATTTTATTTATTTATTTTTAGAGAGAGGGGAAGGGAAGAAGAGAGGGAGAGAAACATTAATGTGCAGTTGTCTCTCGTGTGCCCCACCACTGGGGACCTAGCCCACAACCAAAGCATCTATCCTCACTGGGAATTGAACCTGCAACCCTTTAGTTCACAGGCCAGCACTTAATCCACTGAGCCACACCAACCAGGGCACAATAAAATATTTTTTAAAAGAAAAAAAAAAAAGACCGCAACATGGAAAGATTTCTTAAATAATACACAAAGGGAAAATACAATTTAAAGGAAAATATCACAAATTTAGCAGTAAATTTAATTCCTGTTCCTCAAAGAATCCAATATAAGAAGTAAAAAGCCAGGCCCTAAACTAGAAAATATTTATAATATCTTCACTAATAAAGGATTAGTATCTAAATTATATACAGTGTATATAATTACATACAGTGTATTTGTAGGTGAATATACAGTACACCTACAAATCAGTTTGAAAGGACAAAGGCAAATTACTAAATAAGAATTCCTTAAAAGAGAAAACACAAATGGGCAATAAATGTATGTAGCATATTCAACCTGTTTAGTAATTATGGAAATGAATTTTAATAGCATGAAGTACAATCTTACACCAATTAAACTGGCAAAGCTTTAAAAGTCTGACAATTTTGAATGTTGACAAGGAGGTAAAGCAACAGGAATTCTTTTGTTCTGCCAATAGGAGTGCAAATTACTACCATCATCTCTTGGGAAATCGATTGAACACTGTCTAGAAAACCTGAAAATAAGCATAATCTGGATCTAGAATTCTAGTACTTGGCATCTGGGAGACCCTGTTACATGTGCAGCAGGAGACACACATAATAAAGTTCACAGCAGTGTTGTTGGTAATAAAAAAACAAACAGGAAGCCATCAAATACCCATTGACAAGAAAATGGATAAATTGTGGAGCAGTTATACCAGTAAATATTTACAGTGGTAAAAATAAGTGAACCTCAGTTCCTTGTATTAACATGGAGAAATCTCAAGGTTATAACGTTGATCAAAATAGCAAGTTCCAGAAGAATCAGCACAAAATGATTACATTTATATAAATCTTTAAAGCATGCAAGCTAAATAATTTTAAGAATATATGTTTGTAGTAAAGATAATTAGTATAAGTTTCAGAATAAATGATTCTGGTTAGGAAGCAAAGATGAAGGGGTCAGAAACAGCCAGATGGTCAAGCTGGGGGAGACCTCAAAGATACTTCATGTACTACCATATTTCATTAATTTTGACAGCCAGTTTTTTTTACATTTTAACATTTGCGAAATGAGGATGTGTCTTACAAGCTACAGCAACTTAGAGTTTCACTTGGCACCACATTTCCTTTCTCAGTGGTACATAAAATAAGGGTATAACATAAGCAATGGAGTGTAGGAAATATGGCTGGTTCTTAATCTATATGGTGGAAATATGGGTGTACAGTTTATTTTTAATCACTTATATCTTACAGATATATTTGAATATTCTTTATTATATATTCAATGTATAATAAAGTTGAATTAAAATAGTTAATAATCATGGGTCAGGTTAGCAAAGCAGGGAGACGATTAGAAGCAGAGACGAAATTTGACAGGAATATGAATTTAGATCCATAGAGGTAAAGGGGGGAAGAGGAGGAATAAGTCTTAGATTTCAGGATAAAGACAGAGATAGAAATTGAAAGCCTTAGGAAATAGGGCAGTGTAAGGAAGAGTATGAAAATTTGGAAGAGTTTGGTTCTGAAGTCAAGCAGGATAAGAATTGGGAAGGACAACGGTGGGGGCCGTGTTGAAGCTCTAGAACAGTGCTGTCCAGCAGAACTTTCTGCAACAGTGAAATTTCTGTATCCGTACCGTCTAATATGGTAGCCACTAGACACACAATAATGCAGTTATTAAACATTTGGAATGTGTCTAGTGTGACTCATGTATTGGATTTCTAACTTTATTTTATTTAAATTAATTGAACAGCACACATAGCTAGTGACTACAGTTTTGAACAGCATACCTCTAGAGGGTCCATGGCTCCTGAATCCAGACAGAGGACAGGGAGAGGGGCACCAGCCCCAGGACACTCACCAGCCACTATGAACAGAAAGATGCCGAAGCCTAGGACGTAGTAAGGCCACTGCACGGAGAACTGGGGAGGGCTGGGCTTCATCGTCAGACTCTGGATCTCCAGGGCATGCAGCAACAAGGCCAGGAGAGCACAAGCCCCTGCAGGGTCACAGAGAAGCACCCTTGCTCTCCTCCTGTGCTTCTGCCTTTGTTCCAGCCTTCCTCAGACTTAATCGGACAGAGCCATGTAGGCTGTGTGGCTCCTGCCTGGAGGCTCCTTTCTTCTGCTAGCACACTCTGCCCTCTTGAAGTCAGTAACTTCCACCCCACATGCCCACCTTACCCTCTTTCCACTCATCACAAAGCCCATGTGCCTCATCCCACAGGGGCCCCCTAATCAGAAATCCCTTTCCTGAGTATCCTTTGTGCTCATGACAAGCTGACTCCAGCCTGGGCCCTTCGGGTGTGATGCTTTGGACTGAACTTAATCTGATTTTCCCACTATGAAAGTTCCAACTCCTCCATTTCATGACCAGGGGAGAGCCCTGGTCAACCTTTAAAAGCAAAGGTTCCAAAGATAATCCTTCCATTCACCCATCTAAGAAACATTTATATTGTATTAGAATATTGAGTTCAACTGTATATTGAATTCAATTGTATTAGAATTCTATTCCAGACTCTATGGTAGTCTGGAATAGAGATTATGGTAAAATGGTCACCAAATGACCCCAGCCAGTGTGTGGAGTGCGGAAAAGGCCCTAAGAAGAGGGGTCATAAATACTGAGGGGGTAGATGTGGCGGTGGGCTACTTCACAGAGAAGCCAAGAGGCCTTAAAATCCTCTCTCCTGACATCACAGAGACCACCCCCCTTTTCCCCATCCCCCTACCCACCTTTGGATCCCTCCCCAGGCCCTCCCCATAGTCTTTCTGCCTGCTGCACACCTGTGAGGAAGCTGAAGAAGGCGGACACAAAATTGTGCTTCGGGGTCCTTGGAAAGAGCTGAGATGCAAAGGACACCATGATGAGGGTGGTGAGGAAAGACAAGACGACTGCAGACAGCAGAAAAACTCGGCCAAGGATGATGTAAACTGCAGGGGAGGGAGAGCAGGCTGGCGCTGGGCACCCTGACCCCAAAGGGCAGAGCCCACAGAGCCCACGGATTCTGGGTGGGGATGACCCCTGGGGCTCCACCACTTTGGGTCCCAACATGTGGCCTGGCACCAAGCTTCTGACCCTGCCACTTTGACCCCAAGAATGCTCTGGCTCCATTTTGCTCCCCATGACATTGAAGTATACAAACCAAAAAAATTAGATGGATGAATAGCAGTTTTAAAAACAACATAAAATAAAACCCCCATGAGAAAACTTACTACATGAAGAAATGTCAGGAATTGCATCTATATTGGTCACACTGAAAGAGGTCACTGGTAGAAAATCAGAACTTTGCGAGATCAAGATTTTCTGACCTCTGTGGAGAACCCTATAATCATCTTGATCGATAGAAGTAACGAAACAGACCCAAAGTAGCACAGCCAGACTCTTAAGGACAGGGTGATACATTCTCCTACCCTTACATGATTCAGACCTATGTTAAAATGAGTTTGTATGCCCTCTGGAATGTGCAGAAATGGACACCTGGGAGTGGAACAAAGTGACAAAGGTATTGCTGAAAACCCAGAGCTCTAGAATCTACCCTTGAGTTAAAACAATGCTTCTCGATCTCAACCAGAGACAATGTTGACCCCATGGGGGATATCTGGCAATGCCAAGAAGTAATCTTATTTGTCACAACTAAGGGAGGGGGTGTTCTACTGGTACCTAGAGGGTAGAAGGCTGGGGTGCTATTAACCTGTAAGAAATGAGGGAGCTCCTGACAAAGACTGTCCCACCCAGAATGTTAGCAGTGCCAGGGCTGGGGAACCCCGGACCAGAGAGCTCACACAGTCTGGCCCATCTTCCCCAAAAGTGTCTCTTTTCCTGTTACCAGGAGATAACTCCTAGGTCTCCCAAGGTCACCTTTTTTCCAAGTAGACACTATCACGGCCTTTCCAAGTTCTTTGTAAAATGTGGTTTTGAGTGTCTCATTGGCAACATGGTACGCAGGCCTGAGTACATCACCTGGAGAGCTGCCACCCAGAGTTGGACAGGTGTGTGGCCAAGGGGACAAATGGAGGCTGAAATCAAAGCTGCACCTGCTAACCAGGCTGCTGCCCTGGCTAGAAGCTCCTAAAGGGTGCTGTCTGGATGGCTAACTGCAGCCCTGAGAGGTGGGGGAGCCTCCCAGAGCAGGGCAAGGTCCCCTACCCCGTCTCAGGTAGAGCCACTCTTTCCCCAGAAATAGACTCTGTTGGTGACACATTGGCTCCTGACTCCAGTGTCAGCCTCTCATCATTAACCCCTCCCAGCCGCCTACTTTGCTCTAACCCTCCGAGTGGAGACTTAAGAGAAAATGCCCTCATGGGTTTATTAAATCCTGTCCTCTGCCACCCCCCAGTCCCTGCACCAACCCCATCTCTTCCCAGTCCCTGCTTCTGTCCCTCCTTACTGGATAAGGGTCGAGGCCTCCAGCACTTGATATGAAAGCAGTTCTCAAACAAGCCACTGAAAAACACTTCACGGGACTCTTCATTCACAAGGCGAACCCAGAAGGGGAAGATGGCGACCAACAGTATGAGCAGGTAACCCAGTGAGGTCAAGGCTGGGGCTATGGCCCATGTGAAGCCCTTTATGTCCTTGTCCTCTAAAGTCAGCATCACCTGTGTAAGGGAAGAGCGAGGGTGAGAGGTGGGGCACCTAATCCGAATTCTCACGTGGCACAAGGAGATAATGCCTGTGGAAATGCTAGCACAAATGTGAGGCCCAGTAAATGCTCACTTCTTTGCCTTGATAAACTTGACAGCCTTACAGACCTCTCCAGTGGGCATAAAAAACACAAGACATTTCCTGCCACTAACTCACCAGGTGATCTTGGGAATGTGGGGTCCCCTCTCTGAGCCCCAATTTCCACCTCTGCAAAATCAAGGGGTTAAACTAGGCTCTCCCCAACCTCTTCCAGCTCTGACATTCTAACCATTCAATTCTGTTATCATCCAACCCCTGGCCACAGAAGAGCCTCTCCATGGGTCTCTTTCAGTCAGCTATTTGTCTCTTGTGATTTCAGAATGAGGACCAGGGGGAGATAATACACCAAGGTCTGAAGTGCCCTAACTCAGTAACTGGCCTTCTTGCCTCAGGACCCCAGTTTAGATGCGAAGGGGTTCAACTGGCTAGGAGAAGCCCTCTGCTGAAAAATGAGCAGATCATATGCACAACAGAAGTTTTACAACTAGTTCCATAGACCTTCTTGAAGCCGCAGGTCCCCTCTAGGCCTGGAGGTCAAGGCCCTCAGTGAAGGATCCCTCATGTCTTCTCCTTCACCACTGTGTCATTATAGATGCCTTCTTTTGAAGGTGTACCTGAGATGTAGAAGATAAGAGCTGGCTGGACATGGCTTTAGAAGCTCTCAATTATCATCCCAGCTTTATCACTTGCCAGTTGTGCAATCATGGGAAACTTGCTAAAACACTCAGGAGTTTGGGTCCCCACTTGGAAAAAGGACGATATGACACTTGCCCAGTGGGTCGTTGGGAGAACCAAATGAAAAACTACACCCTGAAGGGTCAAGCACAGTGCTGGGATTCAAGAGCTTGGTTAAGGTTGAGAGGGTGAAAGGACAGACTTCTAAAATTCAAATATTCCTGTGGGAAAGGGGACTAGTGGCTATTCATAATCTAAGGGCAAATTTGTTCAACTAGTCTGCTTTCCTCTCTGCCCTTGCCAAGCGTGGCAGCCCTGAGGAGTGAGTTTTCCCCAAGGTGGAGACGAACAAGTAGAAGGAGAGGAATTGAGTAGGAGCCTGGGTGCCACAGGAAGGGCAGGCCTGGATGTAACACATCCAAATGGCATTGTGATGACCTGGCCACCTGCTGGTGCCGAAGGGAGGCATCAGGAGGTGAGAGACACACATGACAAAGGAGGTGAGAAGCACATTAAGACAATAACCCTTCTTTCCAAGGGCTGTGCTTGGCAGTACTAGGGACTCAAGCTGTGCACAGAGACGGCAGGAGACAGAGTCCTCAGAATAGAGGCACTGCTCTTACATTTCTGCACTCTGTGCAAACACCCTTGCTCACAGCCAGGCATTAAGGCCTCTCCACTGGTCCCAATGCAGACCCCCCTCACTCCAGCTGGGGACAAGGAGTGTCTCTGAAGCTTTGAGAACTAAAGCAGAACAAGTGTAAAGGCAGAGGGCAATGGTGTGGGCGCTCTCCCAGCTATACTGTTTATTGCTCCTCTTTGAATGCTGCTAGAGTGCTTTGGAAACGTTCTAATGTGCTCTTCCTTTCTGTCACTCACCAATTTTCTCTTCTCCTCACCCGAAAAATTGGATCCTTCTCTCTCTGCAAGGCTCCCTTTTCAATCTCCCCTCCACCCTCTTGGCCAACTGATAAGTCACTCAACAGAGCCTCAGTTTCCTTTGCTCTAACATGATGAAGTCGGTGGGAGCAGAATGTTGAGTCCCAGCTCTAAAACTCTCCAGGTAGAAGTCATGGCTACATATTGATCCCAATGCTCTGGATGGGATTGGGGTACTCTGGACATTTTCATCGATGGTCTGTACCCCTTCTTATGTACTCCCCGCAAACTAAACTTGTCTAAAGTTGACCATTTCAGTCATTCTCTCCACCACCCACTCTGGCCAGGAGCTCATGCTGGCTTCTCCCATTCTCCCATGCTTCCAGATCATCATTCTCCCAGTTTTCACAAAATTTTCCAACTACCCACCCTTCCTGCTCCCCACCCACCACGTCTCCCTCCAGTCCTGGACCACAGTCCACCCCAAGCATCTGTAGCTTCCATATCTGGAGTCCTTCCCTGGGGGTACACTCTCTGTTCCTCCAGACCTTTTAAATTCTATTTCTGCAAAGCTTAGCTTGGTCCTTACACTACACATAGACCTCCCAGCCACCAACCATCATACATCCCCCAACCAAAGTTAACTGCACTTACTGGACGCCCCATACCCAGGTTAGGCCAATGCAAACAATTCAGGGACAAAAAAAAAAAAAAAAAAAAAAGACAGGAATTTGCAGGCTCCTGGTAACTGCTGCAGAGAGAGACAAATAAACATATTACATGATGAAGTGCTTTCCTGTCCCCAGCGTACCACCCTGTCTGCACCCCCACCCACCCACCTTCCACCCCCATCTCCAGTGAGGAGGACCTTGTCGGCCTTTCTCTGAAAATAGGCCAGGATCCAGTGTGGAACAAGCTGTTACTACTGGGACTGCACAAATATGCAATTTGAGAAATGAACGGATATAGGCCAGACTCAAAGGACCACCAACATTTTAATATAAAGGGGATTTGTAGATCCCTTTGTTCTGAAGAAACAGGGAGCAGGAGAGAAGGCTCCAGGATCCCAGTCAGCGGGGACCATGGACCAGAAAGCCACATGGCTGCCCCTCCCACCTCACCAGCTGCTACTGGCCAGCAGTTCAGTTCAATGATTTCCAAATGTGAAATTTATTGGAACTTGCCATTTTTTCCCAATAGGTATGTTAATACGCATGTGTGAGAATGGGAGAGAAAATGAAGGAAGGTGGGACTGCCAACTTTTTATTTCTCCAAGGGCATCCAAAACAAAACAAAAAATCCTGTCATCTACTATCACAGACTGTTTTAAGTATTATTTAAAAATGACCTCAGCCCTGGCTGGTGTAGCTCAGTGGACTGAGCATGGGCCCATGAACCAAAGGATCACCGTTTGATTCCTAGTCAGGGCACAGGCCTGGTTGCAGGCCAGTCTCCAGCAGGGGACGCACGAGAGGCAACCATTCACTGATATTTCTCTCCCTCTCTCCTTCCCTTCCCCTCTAAAGATAAATAAATAAAATCTTTATAAAAAAGATTTTAAAAAAGGACCTCAGACACTGGAAAGCAGAAGAGCTAAATGTCCTCTCTGGGGCCAGGAGGCATGTCTGAGAACTACCCACTTGGGTGGAGAGTCCTCAGCTGGGGTTGGCTCTGGGACAGTCTCCCTGAACCACCCTGCAACAGCCTGAGTGCAGCCCTGTCACCTCCCCGGGCCCTGTGCACCCCAGGGGACACCTGGAAACTGTACTGGGAGATAAAGAGGTGGGTGACATAAAGTACACCTGGGTTGGAACAGAGAAGAGACCAGGAGGGAACTGTCCTGGCCGCAGGGAGGAAGGCCATTGTTCCCACACAACCTTCCTCTGCCCAGAACTTCCATGGCTCCAAAGTTACAGTGACATTTTCCAGATCTAAAGATGATGGGCCCCAATCTGGCCATCTGCCCCCAGACACAACCCTGTGGGTCCCAACAGCTCAATGGGGTTATGTTTAGCCCTGGGGAGGGGGGTTGTCTGCTCCATGACCTCCCGCTCTGGACTCATGAGGCCACCTCTACTCACCCTCCACTGGTCTCCCCTCCCTCTTCAGGGGCACCATAGGTATCTCCGGGTCTCCCCGGCAAGGATCCCATCCAGGTGACCCCACTGCAGTGGCACGAGCCACCAGCACCCGCCTCATCTGACCTTTCGGCCCGTGATCTAGGCTGCCGTTGGCTCCAGAGGCCAGACACTGGTATGCTTGGTCTCCGAGCACGGCCTCCTGAGCCCTGGGGCCCTACGGAGGAAGACAGGAGCTCACCCCTCAGGAAGTTGTCCAGCGGCAGCTCACCTGGCTCTCCGCTAGGGGAATCTGGCTTCAGGGGTTGTTCTCAGTCAGGCCTCGTTCGCCAGCGCGCTGAACAGGGTGGGGGTTAGAGCAAGCAAGCTGAAGTCCACGGGATCTGAATTTGAATTCCAACTCGGCCATTACCAGCAGGGTGACCTTGGGTAAATTACTTCTCTCTCCTGGGTGTCAGTTTTCTCATCTGTGAAAGGGGATTAATAATAGTAACTCTGCCAAACAGACAGGCAGGAAGCGCCCAATGAGAAGTGGCTGGAAAATACGTCATGGTTGACCGCCCCTCCCCCACCCCAAACGCCCCACCCCCAGAACATAGAAATACTGCTGCACAGCAGTCTCGACTAGCAACCTGGAATAAGCCCTGGGTTTTCTGAATCCCCAGGGCCCTGACAATTCACTCTCCTTCCCCAAGACCCTGCCTCCCAAATGCTCCCCAGCCTTCATACTGCGCACGTGCTCTTATCTCCCTCAGGCCTTCTAGGCTCTGACGTTCATGTCCCTCCTTTGCCCTCCTAGAATACGGTATTTGAACCTCTCAACACCCGGGCTGGTTTTAAACTTTTCAAAGAGAGGGCACTCAATGGAGGCAGGACTGGCTTCCAGCCATGGGGAGGGGGCGGGGGTTGGTTCTAGTGGCCAAAGCAGCTACACTTGGAGCTGGGTAAGTCACTAGCTCCCCTTGCTCTCTGAGTCTGTGCTCACCAAGAAAATGCATTTACAGCGCATAAGATTTTTAGACTCCAGGACCTGGACCATGTCTAGCACCCCTTCACACTTCTCCACTAGGTGTACGGTACATATTGAAAAGCAACAGGAAGGGAAAGGGGCATGGGCCACAGTAATTTGAGTCATTTATGATGTGATAGGCACATGACAGGCTTTATGCTATTCAGATTCTATCTGTCATAAGGTTTAGAACCCAATTTGTAAATGTTCAAGCAAGAGAGGGCCTTCATTGGCTTAACTGGGTCAGGGGAAAAGAATGGCTGGTGAGGACTAGAGCCAGGCCAGGAACACCCCAGACAACTCTCAGCCCTGATCTCTGAAAGGTAGCTTTGATCTCCTCCATCCGATAGGGTTTCTCCAGGTACAAGGGAAAACAGTCAACTTCCAGACCCACACCCTCATATTTAGCCACCCTAGGGAAAAAGAATGTTATCCTCATCCTATTCCTACCCCTCCTTGATTCATAATTTCCTAGGGAAGCATTCAGCTCTGGCATAAGAAGATGAGTCAGCTGTGCCCCACATTAGCCAGGCAATAGGGTCATCTAGGAAGCCAGCAATTTGGACCACATACTTGGAACAGCCTAGAGAGAACTTTCTTAAAGAAAAGAGGATAGTGTTCTCAAAAAAAAGGGAGAAATGGTGGCAGACCATGACAGCATTTTCATATGCACTTTTATACATTACTTTTCAATGCTATTACCCATCAAATACAAAAATGACAGGCACTAGACTTCCAGCCAAGATGGAGGCACAGGAAGACACACTGTGCCTCCTCACACAACCAAAAGAAGGACAACGATAAATTGAAAAACAAAAAACAACCAGAATTGACAAAAAATCAAACTGTATGGAAGTCTGACAACCAAAGAGTTAAAGAAAAAAACATTCATCCAGACTGGTAGGAGGGGTGGAGGGGCAGAGATGGGCAGTTGGGGCAAGAGGA